TGGATCAGATTGACAGTCCTAATCAGGGAACTCATCTTCAATGAGGTCCACCTAGCTAACCTTGTTATAATCACTATAAGAAGCAGTTAGCAAATCATCTCTTTGATAAATTCTATCAATGAAAGCTAATAATTTGTCCAAATCATCACCTGTTCAAATTAATAGGGTCCAATTCTGAAAAGGAAACATTATTTGTTTTCCTTTCTTGAAATTCCAAAAATGCCAAGGCCATTCCTTTATTTTCTTTTTCGATAAAGAAGTAAAGCAGGTCCACAGGGTTACTTTATTCCTCCACCGGTCCTAAGATTTGCATGAAGAAAACAAGGATGGGTAATAACACCCTGATACTTTACATCTCGTTCCACTATCTTTCTGAAGTGTTTTCTAAATCACTCTTAAGTTAGAAAGCTGCTTGGTTTTTAATTCTTCACTTACAAACAGCTAACCATCCTCTATTACTACAGTTGAATACCAAAAGTTAAAATGCTGCTTAGACAGAGTTCAACCATATATTTTTGCAGTTAGAATTGTGTTTCTGCTCACACAGCACAAATCACAGTACCACCCGTTTCCCCTACATATAAATTCATAGATGTTTATAACGCAGAATGAGCCCTTTCAACCCAGCATGTCTGTGCCAGTCAACAAATATCTGGCTACACTGATCCCATTTTCTAGTTTTTGGCCCATAGCACTGGAGGTTATGGCAATGCAAATATCTCTCTACTTCTTCAATGTCACAAGAATTTCTGTCTCAACCAGTACTTTCCCAGTGAAAATCATTCTCCTGAACTCTACTGTTGGCCTTCCGCCTCTTCCCTTAAAACTATGCCCCTGATATTAACCTCTGTAGCAATGGAAATCCTACTAATGCCCCTCTTAATCTTATACACCTCTGTGAACTCCTCTCTCAACCAAAGAAGACAACCCAGGCCTATCAAATCTCTCCTCATATCTCATATCCTTCAGCCATGACATATCTCCTCTACACGCTTTCTAGTACAGTCACAGCCCTCATATAATGTGGTGACCAGAACTTCACACAGTACTCCAGTTGTGGACTAATTAACATTTAATACAGTTCCAGCAAACCTCCTTGCTCTTGTACTCTCGCCTCAGCCACATATCAAGAACAAGAAAAAGACTGATGTAAAGTATCCTTCGAGGACTGTGCCAACACATCCACACAGATTATTTCTGTGGTACCTAGTTACTATCTTGTTACTTGTATAATACCCCTTTCAATTTTCCTATGTTCTACTCACCAATGCTTTCTCATGCACTCTCTTACAAGTTGCCCCCATACTTTTTTTACGCCTACAGCGACTTGTGCCCTTGGTATTTACCGTAGGCTTCTCTTTCCCCCCACCCCCAATCATAACCTTTGTGTTCCCTGACTTTTATGTCCTGTGACACCTAAGTGTTCTCCCGTCATAGTTCCATCCTTTGTCTTCACTGGAACATATTGCCCTCTCAATATTTCTTTTTTTAATGCCTCTGACTGCTCTGACTCTGTTTTATCTGAAGGTAGCTGTTCCCAGTCCATTGTTGCCAAACCATATTTTATCTTTGTAAAATTAGCCTTTCCCTAGTTCAGAACTTTTATTCCTGGCCCATTCTTACCCTTTTCCTAGCTATCCTAAATCTGAGTTACGATCACTACCTCCAAACTGGTCCCCTACTGATTTGCCTTTGCTCTGCCCAGGTTCATTTCCGATATTGTGTGGCAGGGTAGGAAGTGTTCGGGCTCTGTGCCCATTGCCTCCTGCTCACCTGGCTGGCCATATTCTTCTTCTTTTGGTTTTGTTTCTTCATTTCTTTTTTGTATCAAATTTCACCTTGTTTTCTTTCCTGTGACTGCAGTGGAGGAAGGCAGATGCGAGGGCCTGCTGCAGCAGTGTCAGCATGGTGGATCTGGATGTCCATTTCTCTTGGCCATTGTGGCCGCAACTTTATTGAAGGCTTCGTCGGTGGTAGGTCTGGGATGTTCCTCCTGGCAGCAGTGTGGAGGTTTCAGCAGTGGCAGCATGGAGGTTGCAGTTAGTTCCTTGTGCCTATGGTGGCAATGTGGTGGCTTCAGGCAATGGCTTGAGCGATGGCTTTAGCGTCGGCGACTTGGTAGGTCTGGTCTGTCCCTCCTTGCTATGGATGTGACGCAGTGGCTTCGTTGTTGGCTTTGGTGGCCGCAACATGATGGGTCTGGTCCAGAAGTGCTTCCTTTTCCAGCCTCGGCAGCGGCACCCCATTACCACTTCATAAACCCAGATTGCCGTGGAGGGAACAAAAGATGAGCTTTGTCCTAACTTCGTCTCAATTATTTATTTTATAAGTTATGTAACTAAAATTACAGAATTAAAATCGAAATGGTGCTGAATTGTGGCGACTTATACACCTCATAAATACAAGTGACAATAAATTACTATTCTATTCTATTTGAGGAAGATGGAAAGGCCTTGAGAAGGGTACAGAGGTTTACCAAGGCCGAGGAGAGCTGGAGAAGATTGGACTGATTCTGGATCCAAGAGAAGGTGAAGAGATGACCTATTAAAGGTTTTCAATACGCGGAGAGAGTTGATGGAACAGGTTCTGCTGGTGGGGGGGGATCAAAAACCAGATGTTATAGATTTAAAAATCAATGGCAAAAGATCTGCAGGGAAAATGAAGATTTCTTTAAATACATATTCATTAGCCTCTGGAATGTCCTACATGAAAATGTAGCAGAAGTTGATTCCATAAATATATTTAAAATGTACTCCAGGACCAGGAATTTTCAGGGTTGTTTACATAAACTGGGGATTTCAGAGTAAGAATAACCACTCTTTCGAGGAGCCAACAGAGGCACAGCAGGCAGATTGGCTCCCTCCATTCTGTAGGTTTTTAGAATTATGCAAGCAAATTACACAACAGAATGATTCCACTATTTTGGAGTTCTATTACGTGTCTTGCCCAGGTTCAGGGTCAAACACTACTCCTGCAAAAAAGTCCCATGTTCCCAGTTCAGACAGTGCCTTCACATGCCCAGTATCTAAATAGATGTAAGTAACAGCCAGAGTTTCTGGCAAGTAATAGCCTGGACACTGTATTCTAGCCTACAAAATAAGTATCACAAGCCTTCACTGATGTTCTTTCTAAGATACATATGTATACAGCCATGCAGTTGGAAAATTGGAATAGACAGCGCACAATTCCTTCAGGAGAAATTTCCAGCATAAGTCATGATTTTTAAAATGAAATAAAAAACAGAAAATGTGAAAAACCTCAGCAAGTTTGGTATCATCTGTGGAGTGAAAAACAGAGTAAACATTTTGAATCCAATGACTCTCCTTGTTCTCTTATTCTAGAGTTTCTCCAACATTTTTTGTTTTTATTTCAGACTTCCATCATTCACAATATTTTGCTTTTTTTTAAAAACGTAAACTGTTTACGGACAAAAATATACAGCTGGATTTTACGGCTCCCTGCTGGGCATGCTTTCAGGTGGGCATGGTGGCATTTAAAGTGTTAGGTGGCTACTCCACTGACTTCCTATCAACCCTTGACATCGTCCCCATAGGCTGGTGAGTGCTGAAATTGGCAACCCACACACCCACAACGTTTTCAATATTGACTAATGGGCAATTGAAATTCTTAACAATTTACCACGCCAACAAATTTCATCCGTAAACTTATGATCAACCTGCCTGCATTCGAGTTTCAATCGTTCATACACAAATGGCAAGGGTCCAAACACTGATACATTTTTGTCACAAGGAGATGAAAAAATTGTTTAGCAGTTGGTCAAATGCACACAGTAAATTACAGGACCCTATCATCCCCTCCTCTTTTTGTAACCCCCTAAATGCAGGCAGTTTGGAGACAGAGAGATAAATTCAGTCAAAATTGGAAGAAATTAATTGAGTAGGGCAGGAAAGTTGATAGGTCCACCAGTGCAGGCTGCATGATCTTGAGAAGCAAGTAGAAGGCCGTTCAGGAAAGATTGCCAGAACACCATAATGATCATAAGATATTGGAATAGTAGAAGGCCATTTGGCTCTTTGAACCTGCTTATGAAGAGATGAGGTAAGTGACTGTTTTGAAGACAGTGGCCTGATGCACATCGGCAAAGTCATAGGAGTTAAGAAGAAGAGTTGGAGAACTAATGTTCAGTGTGGAGTCCTGGCAAACAAAGTGGGCAAGAAGGCTGTGATGACAACAGATTCGAACCACAAAATACCGTTGACATTTTTAGCCTTTAATTCCAGTAGCACACCTGTTGAGGACATTTTTTTGTTTTGTTTCTGTTCTTGCCCCATCACCTTTCCCTTTTACCCCATAAGACTAACTTTTCTGTTTTTCAATCTCTCCTGTCCTCCATCTTATCACAGATATTAATTTTGTCCTTATCTCTTGTTCTAACGAAAAATCATTGAGCTTAAACATTAAATAATATGTCAGCATGTTGTGATTTCTTCAATCAAATGCTACTACCAGCATGATGTGCCCTAAATGCTGGCCTGTATTTTATCTGACCTACCATATATGATGAATATCGCATTCTTCTTGACAATTATAATATCACAGACTTACACATAGTCTAGATTTGGTGTTTAAATGTTGCTGTACATTACATACACAGAACTGACTAACTAAACACACAACACTGACTTTATTTTACCCAGAGTATGATGAAGGCGAAGTGGTTACCTTTATGTCACAATGTCACATATTATGATCCTTGCAACTGATTTGAAATTATGCAATAGCTTCACAGATGCTGCCTGGCCTGCTGGATTTTTCCTATCGTTCCGCTTTTATAACAAATTTTCAACAGGAACATTATTCTGCTTTTCACAAACGAAATAACTTTGAGAGCTCAAATACCAGTCTTAAGTGTTAAATATTAATCGTACCACATTACAACAAGTCCAATGAGATAAATGATTGGGAGAAAAGCAGCCATTAGCACCGCAGGCGGGGCTGTGAGCTGCAGAATGCACATGCGTACTTTTCCGACCAAAAACGCGACACGAGCGCGCATGCGTAGCACCAATTTTTCACCGATGGCGTGGTTGTTGCGCATGTGTATCAAAGGATCCGCCCACCTGATCCAGACCGTGCATGAGCGGTAGAGGCAGTGTTCCCTGGTGTAATAGTGTTTCCAGACATTGACAGTATGTGTTTTTGCTATAACGAGAGTTCCAACTAGATGTAAGTGCTCTTTTTTAAATCCTCGTTTCCTTAGAAACAGCGATGGAAGAGCAGGTGTGGATGTAGGCTGAATCTTTTCCTGTGTTTTCCCAGTCGGCCCGATGGCAGCAGTTGGAGTGTTGAGCGCACTGCGCAGGTGTGCGGCGCGTGGTGGTTGCTGCAAATTGCAGGGTCTGAGCCTGAGTGGAGGTCAGTGCAGGCAAGTGCAGAGCACTGGCTGTCTGTATGCAAAGAAGAACTTACTAAAGAAATTCCTCTCTAAATCAAAGTGAGTACTTTGTACATAGCCAATTTATATTTACTTAATTTATATTTAACTTAACTGGACTCACCACATTAACACAGTGGCTACAAGAGCAGGCTAGAAGCTAGGAATACTGCAGTGAGTAGCTCACCTCCTGATTCCTCAAAGCCTGTCGGCCATCTACAAGGCACAACTCAGGAACATGATGGAAAACTCTCCACTTGCCTGGTCGAGTGCAGCCCGAACACCAGGCAAGAAGCTTGACGCCATCCAGGACAAAGCAGCCCACTTCATTGGCACTACATCCACAAACATTCACTCCCTCCACCACCAACGCTCAGTAGTAGCAGTGTGTACTATCTACAAGATGCACTGCTGAAATTCACCAAAGATCCTCAGACAGCACCTTCCAAACCCACATCCTCTTCCATCTAGAAGGACAAGGGCATCAGACATATGGGAACACCATCACCTCCAAGTTCCCCTCCAAGCCACTCACCATCCTGACTTGGAAATATATCGCCATTCCTTCATTGTCGCTGGGTCAAAATCCTGGAATTCTCTCCCTAATAGCATTGTGGGTCAACCCACAGCAAGAGGACTGCAGCGGTTCAAGAAGGCAGCTCACCGCCACCTTCTCAAGGGCACCTAGGGATGGGCAAGAAATGCTGGCCAGCCAGTGACACCTACATCTGACAAAAAAGGAATAGAAAAAAAAAGAGTTATCAAACGTGCCAAGTGGTTAGATTTGCAGTTTTACAATTTTTGAAGGCAGTATGCGGTAGCAGGAAATTATCTCGTTTGTTTCAAAATTCCCGCTACCACCGAGATCAGATATCAATGTCGATGTCAAGCAGATGTTGCAATTATACTGTTATCCTAATTTAAACAAAATTTGTATTTATGCATCAAAATTGTATTATGAACTAGCAACCAATACAGTGCTGAGTAGCAAGCCTTTGTGGTTTGGAAAACAACAAACCAAAAATAGTGAATCTAACTTCAGAGTTTGTACTCTTGGCACTAATGAACATAACAGACAGATAAAGATGAGTGGACAAAGCTTCACTGGACTGGAAACGTTAATTCTGTTTTTCTTTCCACATATGAAGCCACAAGTTTTGCTTTCTTCAAATTAAGAACGATGTGAATGGGCAGTATACTTCCATGCAGTGCTGCAAAATTGCACAAAGCCAATGAATTAAAATGGGAATATTGGGTGTGACAATGCACTATAATAAATTGAGGTTACTCTGGGCATATCTCCATTATGCTGTTAACTCAGTGTTACTACAATACTCCAGCTGTTCCTTGAGGCTTTTTCTGTGCCTGATTTGTAACCATAGTCTCAGAAGACCACAGAGCTGCTGCCTCATTGGAGGGAGACAACTGGTGGTTAGTTTAACCTGAAGGTCACAATGCCTCAGGTAAGGGGTGAGTTTGAAACCGTGGGATCTTCTTGTTGACCTCAACTGGTAGGGGATATGAACTTCTTCTGTTTGCAAACCAGCCATACAGCTGACTGAGCTAACCAGAAACTACCACATTGAAAAAAGGAACACTTTTCAAAAGAGCTTCCATCTCATTTTCAGCTAATTCAGAGACAGCCACAATATTCTAAAAGAAAAAAGTCAATTTGTCATAACTTCCAAAGGATCCTTTAAAAAAGTTATAGAATCTGAAAGTACTGATCAGTTTTTCCTTGGGCCATACACTAATTGTTAACCAGATTTTGTTGAAATCTCTCATATTTTTGTGATTTGTTTACAAACAAACATGGCCAAATATAATTTCTGCCCACCTTGAGTGGCAAAAGCAACAAATAAAACAAAATGCTGCACATACTCAGCAGTTGGATTTCTTTGGCTGTAACTTTTCATTGGATTCATTCTAATAAGCATAAATACAAATTAAGTGGTTTACTATATCTATATTCACATAACCATAATTTAAATTATCTGTTCTCATTAAAAGATCTCAAACTGGATCAAACTGTCAAATTGCAATAGTTTGATTTATTATTTTATGTGGTTTATACGTGAAATAATAAAATAGATTTTGTGGCTCCTCAGGAAATACTGCTGTTATTAAATAAATCTAAGTTGACAATTTAATTGCCATTTAGGAGAGACTTAGAAGAAAAGTTTTGTGATGTTTGAAAGTAAGCAGTTTCATTGGTAAATAAAATTTATTTTAATATTGCCATGGTCCTAGAGGACCAGATGACAAGGTTCTGCATGGTAGACTGGTTAGTAAGGTTAGAACATTTGAGATGCAGGGGGAAGCTAGCCAGTTGGATACAAAATTGGCTTGGAAGTCAGAGACAGAGGGTGGTGGTAAAGGATTGCTTTTTAAACTAGAGGCCTGTGACCAATGGTGTGCCACAAGGATTGGTGCTGGGTCCATTGCTTTTTGTCATTTATTTCAATGATTTGGATGTGAATATAGGAGGCATGGTCACAGAGTTTGCAGATGACACCAAAATAAGTGAAGAAAGTTATCTTGGAGTACAACAGAACTTTGATCAGATGGGACAATGGGCCACTGAGGGCAGATGGAGTTTATTTTTGACAAATGAGGTGTTGCATTTTGGTAAGGCAAACCAGTGCAGGACATACACAGTTAATTATAGGGCTCTGGGGAGTGATGCCAAACAAAGAGAACTAGGGGTGTAGGTGCACAGTTCCATGAAAGTGCAGTTGCAAGTAGACAGGGTGATAAAGGAGGAGTTTGGCATGCTTGCCTACATAGGTCAGTGCATTAAGTATAGGAGTTGGGACATCATGTTGTGGCTGTACAGGACATTGGTGAGGCCACTTCCAGAATACTGTGTACAGTTCTCATTGCCTTTCTCTAGGAAAGATGTTTTTAAACTTGAGAGGGTGCAGAAAAGATTTACAAGGATGTTGCCAGGACTGGAGGATTTGAGTTATAGGGAGAGGCTGAATTGACTGGGGCTTTTTTCCCTGAAGCATTGGAGGCTGAAGGGTGACCTTTATAGAGGTTTATAAAATCACGAGGGGCATGGATAGAGTGAATAGCCAAGGTCTTTTTCCAAGGGTTGGCCAGTCCACAACTAGAGGGCATATGTTTAAGGTGAGAGGGGAAAGGTTTAAAGGGGACCTAAGAGGCAACTTTTTTGCACAGAGAGTGGTGCGTGTATGGTACGAGCTGCCAGAGGTGATGGTGGAGGCAGGTACAATTACAATATTTAAAATGTATTAGGATGGATATATGAATAGGAAGGGTTTACAAGGATATGGGCCAAATGCTCGCAAATAGGGTTCAGTTAGATTGGGAATGTTTGGTCAGCATGGACGAGTCTGTTTCACTTCTGTATGACTCTACTGTCTCATTTGAGAGGGAGAGGGAAGGGTGTGCTTGGGAGGTGCAGAACTGGTGGTGAGTTAAACTCCAAAGATGCCTCTCCTCAGATGAGGGGCGAGGTTGAGAAGGCGAGACCTTCATGTTGACATCAACTGGTTTGGAAATTGAAAATAATTAGCTTTGTAACTACAGTAGTACTGAAAATTTTAGTGGTGTTAAAATCAATTCTAAACAGTTACAACCAATCTGGATTAAGTTTGCCACCGCCATACATATTTCTGTCCAAAATCTTTGGCATTTCCCATGGGAGTCACTGTGCGTGTATGTGCACTTACTTGGTGGTAAGATTGCAGTTCACACTAGCATGTAACTGTCTCACCCAGCCTGTAAGTGGTATAGTGAAATGGTGATGATATAAGTTGTACCCAATTATTGATATGCTCAATCTATTATTTTCTGATCTTCAACCAGGAAGAAGTTTTGGTATGAAAGCCGCACACTGGGATCTCAATTGGTAAGAGAAGTTTTAGTAAATGCACATGTGTAATTTAACAAATTGGAGAAGCTGACATTGATTTTTTTTTCCCCCTGATTAAAAGAGTTCTTGTCATTTGAGTGATGGGAGAAATTTGTTTATAGAGTTCATGTGGTTTTCTTTGGTAATGAAGAACTTCACCAGTACTCTTTGAGCCTTAAGCTCAAAATAATGTCTCTTTTGTTTCATGTCACAGCAAAATCTTTGAATAAAATCCATCAGTTGTGAAGCTCAACATCAAAAATGGGTAATCACCAGCAACTATAAATAAACATCAAACCAATCAATCATTCAGTTTTTCTTTACCATTTTAATCCTTTAACAATCTAGGTTGAATCCCATCTGGATCAGGTCATCGTAGTCCTGGTGAAGGTTCAAAGGAGTACTTCCTTATCCAGAAACACTCCAGATTTTGTGGTTTTCTTCTAAGAAAAAGCAATCTAGAGAGAATCTTTTCATTTTCTCAATTGTAGACTAAGTTCAGTAGAATAGTTTTGTCTTCCCCAAAGAATAGAGATGTACAACAAAGAATAAAAATGACAATCTTTAGTCAGAAGAATATTTTAGATGCTAGAATTTCTTTTTAAAGTTTTCATCTTCTGGAACAGATTAGGAAGCATTTACTGAGTGTGGTTTTCACTGAATCATCCTCAGTGAATATTGATGAGTTCATGAGAGAAGGATGGAAAACTATACTTACTACGAGAGACTTGTACTGAGCCGTTTTTAATGGACTGAATGAGGTTCAGGAGAGATTTACTGTGTTTTAAAATTATGAAGTGAGTAGAAAAAGACTTTCTTTTGGTTTGGAGTTATAATTGTAATAACTTTGGAATACTACAGAGAATGGTTGAGTCAGACTCCAACATAACTTTTCTCTTGGAAAGATATCACATATTTGAAGCCAAGGAAGATACAAGGGAGCTAAAATACAGCTGTTGCAAGGAGGGTATCTGTAGGGTCAGGTGAGTTCTTTGTAGACCAGGGACTATGGGCCCAACAAGGAAACAATGGGCCTCTCTTGCCACTGGATTTTCTCCTTAGAGTCAGGGCCTATTCCCTGGGTACCTGAGAATTGAACTTCATCCATCATAATCCTAGAATAGCTCGACATTCAGCAAATGTTTGGTGAGTGAGTGGCATGTTAATGAGACCCAGTCATTAAAATAGTTCAAGTCTAGCTGCTATGGTTCCCTAGTAAGCCAACTGTACTCTTTTCTGTGATAACAAGGTGTAGAGCTGCATGAACACAGCAGGCCAAGCAGCATCAGAGGAGCAGGAAAGCTGACGTTTCGGGTCTAGACCCTTCTTCAGAAATAGGGGAGGGGAAGGGGTTTCTGAAATAAATAGGGAGAAAGGGGGACGTGGATAGAAGATGGATAAAGGAGAAGCTAGGTGGAGAGGAGACAGGTCAAGGAGGCAGGGTTGGAGCCAATAAAGGTGAGTGTAGGTGGGGAGTTAGGGAGGGGATAGGTCGGTCCAGGGAGGATGGACAGGTCAAGGAGGCGGGATGAGGCTAGTAGGTAGGTGATGGGGGTGGGGCTTGAGGTGGAAGGAGTGGATAGGTGGTAGGACAGGTTAGGGAGGCGGGTACGAGCTGTGCTGGTTTTGGGCTGCGGTCGGGGGAGGGGACATTTTGAAGCTTGTGAAGTCCACGTTGATACCATTGGGCTGCAGGGTTCCCAAGCGAAATATAAGATGCTGTTCCTGCAACCTTCGGGCATCATTGTGGCACTGCAGGAGGCCCAGGATGGACATGTTGTCCAAGGAGTGGGAGGGGGAGTTGAAATGGTTCGCGACTGGGAGGTGCAGTTGTTTGTTGCAAACCGAGTGTAGGTGTTCCACAAAGCGGTCCCCAAGCGTCCGCTTGGTTTCCCCGATGTAGAGGAGGCCACGACAGCGGATACAGTATACCACGTTAGCAGATGTGCAGGTGAACATCTGTTTGATGTGGAAGGTCTTCTTGGGGCCTGGGATGGGGGTGAGTGGGGAGGTGTAGGGGCAGGTGTAGCACTTCCTGCGATTGCAGAGAAAAGTGCCGGGGGTGGTGGGGAGTGTGGAGAGGAGTGGGGAGTGTGGAGAGGAGAAGGGAGTCACAGAGAGAATGGTCCCTTCGGAAAGCAGATAAGGGTGGGGAGGGTAAAATGTCTTTGGTGTTGGGGCCAGATTGCAGATGGCGGAAGTGTCGGAGGATGATGTGTTGGATCAAAAACCTTGAAAAACAAGGACCCCAACTTCCCTTCCACAGTGGTCGAAAACGCCCTTGACCGTGTCTGTCGCATTTCCCGCAACTCATCCCTCACACCCCCTCCCCGCAATAACAACCAAAACAGAATCCCCCTCGTCCTCCCCACCACCCGACCAACCTTCGGATCGAACGCATCATCCTCCGACACTTCCGCCATCTGCAATCCGACCCCACACCAAAGATATTTTTCCCTCCCCACCCTTATCTGCTTTCCGGAGGGACCACTCTCTCCTTGACTCCCTTGTCCGCCCCACCACCCCCAGCACTTTTCCCTGCAACCGCAGGAAGTGCTACACCTGCCCCTACACCTCCCCCCACCTCACCCCCATCCCAGGCCCTAAGAAGACCTTCCACATCAAACAGATGTTCACCTGCACATCTGCAAATGTGGTATACTGTATCCGCTGTTCCTGTTGTGGCCTCCTCTACATCGGGGAAACCAAGCGGAGGCTTGGGGACTGCTTTGTGGAACACCTATGCTCGGTTCGCAACAAACAACTGCACCTCCCAGTCGCGAACCATTTCAACTCCCCCTCCCACTCCTTGGATGACATGTCCGTCCTGGGCCTCCAGCAGTGCCACAACGATGCCACCTGAGGATTGCAGGAATAGCATCTCCTATTTCGCTTGGGAACCCTGCAGCCCAATGGTATCAATGTGGACTTCACAAGCTTCAAAATCTCCGCTCCCCCAGCCACATCCCAAAACCAGCCCAGCTCGTCCCCGCCTCCCTAACCTGTCCTCCCACTCTTCACACCTTCCACCTCAAGCCCCACCCCCATCTCCTATCTACTAGCCTCATCCCGCCTCCTTGACCTGTCCGTCCTCCCTGGATCGACCTATCCCCTCCCTAACTCCCCACCTACACTCACCTTTACTAGCTCCAACCCCACCTCCTTGACCTGTCTGATTCCTCTCCACCTATCTCTTCCTTTATCCATCTTCTATCCACCTCCCCCTTTCTCCCTATTTATTTCAGAATCCCCTTCCCCTCCCCCATTTCTGAAGAAGGGTCTAGACCCGAAACGTCAGCCTTCCTGCTCCTCTGATGCTGCTTGGCCTGTTGTGTTCATCCAGCTCTACACCTTGTTATCTCAGATTCTCCAGCATCGGCAGTTCCTACTATCTCTGTACTCTTTTCTGTGTTCCTGCTTGGGAGTAAAAAGAAAGTCCAGTTGGCTAAAGAAGTGAGTCCATTTGAATGTCATCTAAGTTGGAGGGATTTGTAAGTACTGCCAAAATGGATTGTGAAAGAATCCAAAGGTACGTAAAAAGGAAATATTTGACTAGGATGAATGTGTGTCCATTATTGGCAGAGTTAGGAGAATGTATGGGCACAGACAAATGGCACAGAAGCTAAATGGTTATTTTGTCTGTTATTTCACTGAGGAAGATACCAGAAATCTCCCACAAGTAGAGATCAGGGTGGCTAGGGAGAATGAGCAGTTGAAGTAAATTAACATTCGTTTAAAAAAATTTTGACTAGAGATCTTAATGTGTTTGGAACTTGATAAATCCCCAGGATCTGATGGTCTTCATCCCAGTATGTTGAAGGAGATGGTTATAGAGTTAGTCATTGGTGATTATCTTCCAAAATTCTATAGATTCCAGAATAATTCCTGCAGATTGGAAGGTAGCAAATGTCACCGCACTATTCAAGAAGGAAAGAAAAATACTCCAATCTATTTTAAAGAATGGAATAAATAGACATTTAGATGATAATACTGTAATTGTGCATTGTCAGCATGGATTTGTGAATGGGAACTTGTTGGAGCGTTTTGCCAATTTTGTTACTAACAGTGACAAAGGAGGTAGTATACTTAAATTTCCTTAAGGCTTCTGATAAAGTCCCCGCAGGAGGGTGGTGAGAAAATTTAATGGGAATGTATTCGCATGGTTTACTGATTGCATAATGGACAGAAAACACAGGAGGAATTATTCAGTCGTTTTTGTATTGGGAGTCTGTCTAGTGGGGTACTATAAGGATCAGTATTTGTGGCCCCATATAATTATTGTGTCAGTGATTTAGAGGTAGGGACCAGATGTAATGATTCCAAATTTGCAGATGATGCAAAGCTGCGTGTGAATATGTGTTGTGAGAAAGATGTAAAGTAGCTTCAGAAGCATTTGGACAAAAAAATGTGAGGGATTATCCACTTAGGCGATAATGATATGTGGTGTATTTCTTAAATGCTAAGAGGTTGGAATCTGTCGATGTACAAAGGGATCCCTTGTCGATAATGCGCTCAAGCATGACATGCAGGTACAGCAAGCAATTAAGAAGACTAATGGAATGTTAGCCATTATTGCAAGGGGATTTGAGTGTAGGAGTAGTGAAATCTTCCTGCAAGTGTATGGGAGCTTGGTTAGACCACACCTGGAATATTTTCTGCAGTTTTGGTCTCCTTATCTCAGGAAAAACATTACTGCCATTGAGGGGATGCACCAAAGATGGGCAGACGTGTTCCTGAGATGAAGGGAATGTCTGATGAAGAAAGATTGAGTTAACATGGCTTGTAGTTTCTGGAGTTTGGAAGAAAAAAAGATGATCTCACTGAAATCTGCAAATCCTTCAAAGGGATAGACAGGGTAGATGCAGATAAGATGTCTCCCCTGATTGGAGAGTCTAGAGCCAGGGAGAATAATTTATGAATAAGGTGGTCCCACCTAAGTTAGAGATATAAATATGTTTTACTCAAGAGGGTTGTAAACCTTCAGAATTCTGTACCACAGAGGGCTGTGGAAGCACATTCTTAGGGTTTACTTAAGATTGAGGCTGATAGATTTCCAATTACCAATAGACTTAGACTCCCTGCAGTGTGGAAACAGGCCCTTCGGCCCAACAAGTCCACACTGACTCTCACAGCATCCCACCCTATAACCCATTCCCCTATAACCTACCTAACCTACACATCCCTGAACACTATGGGCAATTTAGCATGGCCAATCCACCTAGCCTGCACATCTTTGGACAGTGGGGGGAAACCAGGGCACCCAGAGGAAAGCCACGCAGACACAGGGACATTGTGCAAGCTCCACACAGACAGTCGCCGAGAGTGGAATCAAACCCAGGCCCCTGGTGCTGTGAGGCAGCAGTGCTAACCACTGAGCCACCGTGCCGCCCCCGGGACCTCTCGCACATTCGCCATATGCAGTAATCCCCAAAGCAAGAATCCTACCCCTAGACCAATGGCATGCAAGGTTATGGGAATGGTGTAGATAAAAAGAAATGAAATGTTCAATTAGCCATGATCCTAACGAATGGCAGAACAGGCTCAGTGACCTACTCGTTCCTTTATTCCTGTACATTTCCAAGAACTGTGCTTATGCCGGTCTCTTGATGCTTGTAACTTGGAACTCTATGTTCATTACCATTGAAACTGTTACATTAACAGAAGCTTCTCTGTGATTTTTTTAAAATCTTTTAATAGGCTTGTCTTGTAGTATCCCTGTGTCTGGACCAGGAGGCCCATGTTGTAGTCTCACCTGCTCCAAAAGTGTGTAAGAACATCTCTGACCAGGTTGATGAGAAAAATTGGTTAAATAAGAAGAACAGATTTCTAACTAAGCAGTTGGATAATTTATTGTGCATCACGTAGTGTAACATTTCTGGGTTAATAAAATAACAACTTGAATAATTAATATTTAATGTTGATTTGAATATGGTGGGGGAAACAGTGTTGTGGATTTTTTAACATGCAAATTGGCCCTTTCATTTAAAACAACAAAGGACCGTTGGAGAATTAATTTTCATTCACATGCTAATTTGAGTCCACAACTTGATGATACAGAGGTGAGAGCACTATTGACTGGTCCAAGCTGAAACATTAGAATTCAGATGAAATCACTTTCTGTAGATTTGGCTCAGTTTGGATTTTCAAGGATATTACTTGTTTAAAATGTGGGATTTTTATTTATCATGTAATTTACAATTGCTCAGTTTTGTTTGCTGTTTTTGTATAGCTTTATAAGCCCTCCAGTTTGGAGAATGTATTGAAACCTCAGCGCAAATTGCAGAAAGAGCACACGATCCGAATGAGAGCGCTCAACAATATTCTTTATAAAGCAATCACAGAGCTGTTGGACAGTAATGAAGTCAGCTCAGAAGTATATGAGTATAAAGTTGAGATATCCAAAGTAAGTACAACTTTATGTTTTGAAGGTATTATTCTATCCAAAGGTTAAGTGCAACATAAGGAAACAACACCAGTTGCTCTGATTTCTTTCAATTTACTTAGAACTCAGTGGAAGAGCATCAATGTGCAATATCCAAGCATGCATTGAGTTGAACTGGATTATTTTTAACAGGAAATAGTATACAAGGTATGATATGTGGTAACATTTTAGGGTAAGCAAAACATTGATCCAAAAACAAAGTTGCTGGAAAAGCTCAGCAGGTCTGGCAGCATCTGTGAAGGAGAAAACCGAGTTAGCGTTTCGGGTCCGGTGACCCTTCCTCAGAACCCTTTGTATAGCTTTATAAGCCCTCTAGTTTGGAGAATGTATTGAAACCTCAGCGCAAATTTCAGAAAGAGCACACAATCCGAATGAGAAGGGTCACCGGACCCAAAACATTAACTCTGTTTTTTCCTTCACAGATGCTGCCAGACCTGCTGAGCTTTTCCAGCAACTTTGTTTTTGTTCTTGATTTACAGCATCTGCAGTTCTTTTGGTTTTTATAAAACATTGATCCATCTAGTTATCTTCCTTAAACTCCTATTTTTCTTTGTAGAAATAAAATCTTTTTCAGAAAGGGAAATTTGTTTTAAACATAGCATACTTCATTGACCCTATGTGCCAATACCACCTTACTTTATAAAAAATGCCTATGTTTGCTCTTGATCTTTCGCATCTATCATTTTAAATAGTCTTTTTCCCAGGCTTAAGACTGTAGGAAGATCTTTCTTAAATCCAGATTTTTCTTATCTGTAAGAGTCTTTGCTGTACCATATGGCATGTCATCCTCTTCTCTGTAGAGAGTCAAATCTCAGGATGACTTTGTAATTCTATAATTTCCCTGTTTTAATATACCACCTTCTATATAAAGATGCATTCGAGACTACGTATTTTTAATGAAGTCTTTGTGAAAATCCTACAGATAGGATTTGAAGATCTGCCTCTAGGTTTCCTCAGCATCAGGTATCTTTGTATGTCTTCTCTATTGTGCAACTGTAATATATTGCCTAACTAGAAATATATTGTTCTAGCAGTTTAGGTTTAAATTGTAATGAAAATTCTACAGTAGAAGTTGAATGAATGAGCTTGAATGTTATCTAGCAATTAGAGTTTGGAAATTACTGAGGGAATTTTTTGTTTGCTATTTTGATTGTGGTTTTAAATGTCTATTTGTCAAGAAAATGAATGATTTTTTGAAAAATAATTCATGACAAGTCTTTGTCATCTTTTGTCATAATGCAAGAAAAGGAACAAAGTCTCAAGGTGAACTTTATCCCCAAAAATACTCCAGAAACATGTCAACTTGAAAAAATATCAAAACCAGAAGATGAAATGTTTACACAGAGGGTAGAATTTGTACGCTGTAAACAAAATATTTAATCATTTTGGCTTCTTTTGAGGAAAACTAGTTTTGTATTTGAAGTCTGAAATCTATGGTATAAATAGTAATGGATGATAATCTGCTTGTAATAATATTTCAAGGTTTTTTTTAAAATTGCGGAGTCCCGGTAATCTGCTAATCAAGATTTAGTCCACAGTTATACAAAGTTCAGAGATTCATTGATATTGGAATGTGCTCATTGTATTATAGGTAATGTTGACTGTGGATTTTTCAGCATGTCGAGCCTACTGGGTGGCAAGCGGTTCAGTGGAAAAAGATGTTCGTGTTCAGCGAGTCTTAGAAAAATGCTCTTCACGTATAAGGTAAGTGTCATCATTGCCACCTTTCTATTAAGTTTCACCTTTTTTGTTATAGTAGGTGTTAACTGAACATTATTTGTTGTATCTATAGTTTACATAGTGAAAATGGACCGGGAGCGGTTATTGACTTAAAGGTGGACAAATTCCAATTAAAACAATTTTAAAAAAAATTTTCTAGGCACCTTCTCATTTCCCGGCAAGTCATGGGTAGCGTTCCTCCATTGGTCTTTGTTAAAGACCAACAGCAATCAGCGATAGCTGAGGTGGGTAATAATCACTGAAATGAATTTCTATGATAAAATGAAATGCAAGTAAAAGCCTAAATGGCAGAGGATAAGGCTCCTTATTTTGTTCTATCTTTAAAATCTGTCCTGAACAGATTGTGGCTACAGTTTAACAACAAGCTAATGGATTTGTCATAAACCATTCGACAAGACCGTAAAAAAGTTAAAATGCTTAATTCACTTTTATTCTTTCTTTTTAATATACAGAGTTTTAAAGTACACTGTATTTAAACATATTTTACTTGTTACTACAGGTTGAAAGATTGTTAGAAATTGCTGATTATGGCTCTGAAGAAGGGACTATGGTTATTGAGCAACTGTGGAACCGAAAGCATTTTAGGTAACTACCATTTATAACATAATAAAGAAAGGTATTTCAACCCTGAAAATTTGCCGTATGATCTTTTTAACAAACATGAAGCAAGGATCAGATGTTCATAGTGAATGATGTGTAAGCATAATCACACCAATGGATATTTGTAAGATTCAGAAATGCAATGAACACCAGCATGCGACAGATTATTTTGGGCACAATATGTGCAGCAATTAAACTATGTGCCAGATCTACTTTACCAGTGTTCGCTATACCACAATATTAATAAAGTGATGAGCGCTGGCAGTGCAATGTTCCCTTCCTAGTGAACGGGAAGACCCCTTATAAACTTAGCAAAACACCTATCTTCAACGGTGATTACAGCAGATCTGCCACTGAACTTATTTTCCTTCATGCCCTGAGCATGAGGTGAAGATGTGCATATTGCCTATCACTGATTTCCCCAAATGCTTTACAAGTGAGTGGCTTCCTAGTGCCATTTCAAAGGGCATTTTTTTCTATTTGTAAATAGATAATTTATTCAAGTTATCTGTAATTACATTACAAAATAGTTTGACTTTTGTCCACAACACACAGTTATATGTAAGCAACACCTGTTGGGTTATTAATAAATGAATGAGTTCTTGGAATGATCTGCTGGGCTTCATGGTCATGTTTTCTCTGATGCTAGCCTGCACATTACCAAATTTATTGAATTTCACATTGAATAACACGAATTTGTGATCTCAGTTGCTGGTCCAATCCCTTAAAAATTGAAGTACCGCAGCCTATCTGTGACCCTATGATACCATTCTCCCAGTTGCAGTATAACTATTTGCTTAAATCAGGGTATGATTGTGGGGGAGTACTGATCCAATCAAATGCAAATTTCAAACTTGTTGTGTAACAATTTGTATTACAAAACGTGTATGTAATTTGTGACTTGACTTGGAAGATATAGCTTATTTGGGAGGATATTGCATCTGCATGGACCACTATCTTGCAATAACCTCAATCTCTAGAGTTTTCCTCCTGTTATATCTGGGTCTGTTGTAGAAGATTGATAGAATTGATTACCATTTCTTGAGTTGTCTGCCGAAGGCAGGTTGCACCCACAGCACCGCAATCGCCACATTGTGTAGGGCAGGGAGGCACGTCCTGAATTGATATCAACAGGAACAGGTATTAAACCCTGTTGCATTGGCACCACTCTGTTATGCTGGCCATCTAGCAAACTGCCCGAACTGAGAAAGTTCAACTTTGTGGTGACATACACTTTTAAATGTACTTTCTACCCTGGAGTAATGGATGGTGATGATAGAGGCTCCAATTTCTTTTCATCATAAGCCTAACAAGGAGTCCCCCAATCTACAGTCTGCCATTGGCCTATATTAAGAGGACAGAAAGTCTGTTTGGTCAAGTAATGAACAAATGCATCTTCCTTGGTCCTCAAGTCCTGGAGTGGGTTTTGAATCAGAGCTTTTGGCTCACCGGTAGGAACACTATACTGAGCCAGCCTCCTAGGTTGATTCCTACAGTCAGTCCATCCTTATGGTTGCATGATACAGTGAGGATAGTAGATGATGAACTAGTTTGACCTTGGTTTTCTCATCAAACAGTTTCTATGTACTGGTCTACCTGATAATTTTTAAAGACCTGTATTTTCTTTATCACTATGTCAGAAATGCTTTTTACCCCAATTCAGACATGGTCCTCCAGACTCCACTTGGAAGCCTATTTCTCAAGAATCTACTTCTGCCTCATCTGATCTGCCTTCATCATCTCCTGAAATGGATCATTTTGGTATTGACCATGACATGCTGAACAGAAAAATATTGGAATATAAAAAGAAAATTAGTGAAAGATCATCAGAACCAAATAATTTTATGTTATTGGCACAGCACCAGGAGCAACTGGATCACCTTAAAAAACTGAAGCAACTAAAAAAGAAAAAATCCAAGTATAAGCTTGATGATATCACACCTGAGATGTACTTTTTAGAAAAGTACAATATGGACTCTGCAACAGCTGACACTTTGTCAGATGGGGAAGAGCAGCTGAAGGAAATGGATGAAGAAATGATGGAACTTGAAGCAGAGGAAGATAATCCAAAAAGTCACTTAAAATCTCTTAAAGATGTATAATTATTGAAATGTGTATTTGAGGCATAGCTTTCTCAATCTCTGCAGATGGAGAGTAAATGCTGAGCTACTGAACTTTGTATTTAAAAAAATGTAACTTTTCACTTCCCCTGGGTTTCCTTTTTATGAAAAGCTAAGTACTGTGATTTTTCATGAGGCAATCATTTTCTGGTACAAACTATTGTTGTTTTGATAACTTTTTTGGTGATTAATGAACAATGAGTAATGCTGTTGATTAGTGATATGTATTGAGGTTAGACCTAAATTTGATCCAGTAGGTATATGAAAGTCATGTGGCTTGATGTAGGAATATAAAAGATGCATCAAACTTGTCCCAAACCTCACAAGGTAGCGTACCAATCAGTTTGTTTTAATGTTATAATGTTCCTGTTCACCAGAAAAGATGAGTCCATGAGTTCAGCCATCAGTGGAGAAGATGTTGAGGAACACCAAGATTTGGTTATCATTTAATTCATCTGCACAGCCACTTAGAATTTCTTTTCCACTGGTGTTCTTTTTTGTGTTTGTTATTGCTGAAAATGGTAGTTGAAATAACCATTTTTATTGATACTTGTTTTTAAAAACTATAAATGTTTCAAATTTGGATTCTAAGTTGAATAATGTGTCTATTTTTATAGCGTTAGACCATCTACATTGACTTTGACTTCCATTTGCGTCTTTACACAAAAATGCTTCAGCTATTACTATGCTGCATTTCAAAAGGCTATTATGTTTAACTGCAACTATAACTCAAAGTAAAACAGATGGTCCTGAAAGGGAAGGCTATGAAGTCCTAGTTTAAAAATCTTATTTCGGAGAAATGTCCCTGTGACCTAAGGTTGCCATGGCAATGGTAGTCGAGAAAGAGCAACTCAAATAGAAATCTTTTGAGGTGCTGAGTTGTAGTTTATAAATGTCTTTCTCAGAAGCTCAAAACAAAGGAAATGCTGAAGCCAAGAAGCAGGGAACATTAGAACTCTGTGACAGATCTTCTCTTCTGTAGGAAATGATTAGAAGCACGGTAAAACTGAGGAAAATAGTTCTTTCACAGCTGACAAAATCACTTATGGGATCAGGCACAGTAAACTCTGGAATTCTGTGTTTTTGGGACTTTGTGAATGGAAGTATAAATATAGAGGGATTCATCATGGGAATTCTCGGGTGGAGTGGAACGATTGTTGAACACTTGAAAATTTGACCAGATGTGGTGGGGATTGGTAAACCTCTGAAGAGCTGGGAGTCACTTTGAAGCTGTCCCTTTTAGTAATTTACATTTGCTACTTCCATAGCATCGAGTAAAATAGTTTTATTATCTGGTTGCTAGTTAAACTTGAAAGGGTTCAGAAAAGATTAACAAGGATGTTGCCAGGGTGTGAGGGTTTGAGCTATAGGGAGAGACTGAGTAGTTTGGGGCTATTTTCTCTGGTGTGTTGGAAGTTGAGGGGGTGACCTTATAGAGGTTTATAAAATCATGAGGGGCATGGTTGCCAGTCAGGAAAAACATACCGTTTTCTTCAGTTTGAGCAGCCTCTTAATTAATGTTTGATCAATGGTTTTCGTTTGTTGCAGTAAAAGGCATGAAGTGAAATCTTGTTCACAGCTTTTTGAGGTGGTGAGGTTGTCAACAAACATGTCACAGGAAAGGGCATAAGATTTCATCCAGTGTTTTTGATTAATAGTCTTTTATCAGAACTGCTGTAATGGGTCTTTCTGAATGGATGAACTAAAAAAGGGGAAATGGCCTGTGTCATCTGTAATTCCCACTCTACTGCTCACTTTGCT